TGCAGATCCGCATGTCTGATGAGAAGAGAATAATAACAGGTGTTGAATACACATACCACATATATACAACTTAGATTCCAACTAATGTTAAAAATTCAGTAAAACAAATGCTAATCAAATCTTACACTCTTACACTCTTCAAAAAAGAAACGCATAGGTGATTTTGAGAATATTGGACTCATGTAGCTGCGGCCAAAACTATTTCTTTCAAAAACGCCATCATTTTGTGATTGTAAACAGCTTCAGCACAAAAAGGTGGCAATTTAAACTTTTCCCTTGTTTTGGAAGCGTTTGAGGAAATATTCGTCTCAACGTCACAGAGAAAACATGCAGAGCAAGTAAGCAGAGGAAATGAACGTTTTGTCTCTAATTGCATTCGACAGATCGACAGATTCGGTGGAGACAGTGTCATGGTGTGGGGTGTCATATCCAGTACACAAAAAATCTGATTTCTTTAAGGGGAATCAGCAAATCGGTAAAGTCCTTGCACGTCACATACTTTCGATTATGGACCGACGCAGTTGTTCCAGCAAAACAATGCTACTTCACATACAGCACGCGTCACGGTCCACTACCTTGCCAATTCTAACGTCAGTGTCTTGCCATGGCCTTCCCGATCACCAGATCTAAATCCGACAGAACATCTATGGGATGAAGTCAATGGACGTGTACGTCAACGTCAAAACACGCCTCAGACACTTCCACTAATGTCCATCACATTGCAGGAAGGAAGGGAGTAGTGAATGAGTTTTTATGCCGCTTTTAGCAATATTCCAACAATGACGTGGCGGGGAACACCAGAAATGGGCTTCACACATGGACGCCCATGTGAGAATCGTCCCCGGGTCTTCGGCGTGACAGGCGAATACTTTAACCACTAAGCTACCCACACCAACCCCATTACTTCTCAAAGGTGTGTCCTTCTACAACAGGTATGATTCGTTATACGGTATTCACATCGAAGTCATTGATGATTTGTCAGAGTGAGTGAGTGAGTCACTGAATGGAGTTGATGTTTAACGTCACAACAGCAGTATTTCAGCCATATTGTGACGAAAACAATGTACCACAGTTAACCAGTAATATGTTTAGAACTATAAGATTAGATTAAGCACAAGAGTAAAAGTTATTTCACAGTGCAATGTTCCTACAGTGCATCACATCCCTCAAGGTAACATATAACTATACATAATGCAAAGAGTGGATTGTGACACGTTCACCCACAGCATGTAAATACCTTCACTACATCTGATGCACACAAGTACATACGACCACGACCACCAACACACAGTCCCCATGGATGGTGGACACCATCCTGTGATGTCAGTATGTTTCTAACAAACTGTCCTGACTCTGTCAGATGGATGACTCTGTGTAAGGAGTTGTCTGCCACCAGGTTGTCGCCTGTGCTGGTGCTTGTGATACCACGTGGATCCTTCAGTGCTGTGTCTCCTGTAGGTCTGTAGTTGAACACCACATCTCCCTCGGGGGTCAGACACACGACACAGTTGGTTCCCACCAGGATGTTTCCTGTCCTCGTGGTACAGAGGAAGTGGGGGAACTTTTAAAATGTCTCCACCTCTGTGGCCAGGACAAACTGACTTCAGCACGTGTCCCGACATATCAAAGGATATCAACACAGTTGTCCAATGTGTCTGTCAGACATCTCTTTCAGGTCAGACAGAAGTTTCCGTTCCTTGGCTTTAATCACCTCCATTGCTGTGAGACTTGCAGACTTGATGTTTCTTCTTTGACCCTGGAGTTTTGTTTTTTGACATGTGTTTTCATCTCATTGTGTTTCTTTAACAAATTCTCATTTCAACAAACAACTCACATTTCCTGTGATGTATGGTGCAGCATGTTTGACAAACAGCTGTTTCGGCAATCTTTGCAAACATATTAAAGATTCTCGTCCCGTGAACTTTACACATGACCTTTCTCTTGACCTTGACATTTGTCTCCGCCAGACAGGTCAACTACGCCATGGTGACCTGAAGAGGAATTCGCTGGTGCAACCGTGTACATCGTTCACACAGTGCGTCGTCACAGAACACCAAGTTGTAGCTGGAGTTGTCTCCCTTTCCTCCTTACAATAACTGCAGTTAGTTATATCTGGAAATAACCATTTATTCATGTGGTGATATTAACCTCGTGACATCATGATATGATTCTAGGGCTACGTGTGGCGCGTATATTAGTACAACCCACAATAACTTAGCCCAAATGTTTAATTCAGTCAGATATCAGGTCTTGACAATCTGCCCGGGAATAACCGTCGAGTTGTTTTTCGCAATACGTACTGGTGCAAAGTTCACAACATGTGACTGTTGTCTGAAGTGGTTGCCAGGTGGGATAACCAACAAACCATTTACTACCTTCCTCACAGTAAGCTTGGAGTCATGATGGACCTGATGGAGCAGGGCCCTTGCTCCATGTGACTGTTGTCTGAAGTGGTTGCCAGGTGGGATAACCAACAAACCATTTACTACCTTCCTCAAGGTTAGTTGGTTCCTCCTGGGAACTATGTAACGTATAAACACACATATCAAAAGATGCATAACTGTATAAAGACGGGTGCATACTTCCAATGTTTCAGGACAGTTACAGCAGATGTGATAATACTCTTCAATATTCCACCTATATAGCTACGGTCCGTAAATAATCGAGTCGGTATTGACACTTCTACCGTTATCTACGTAGTTTTATTTGTATACATAATCTAAAAACATCAACTCCTGAGACCATCAAGTCTCGATTAACTACTGAGACAGACTCCACTGGCCAACTCGCGGTGATGATTATATGAACGGATAACAAGAAATTATTCCTGGTATAAGGTGTTAGTGAAAAGGGTAGACATGGCTTGCCCTATGGCTTGCCCGTTCCATGTTCACAAAAAACTCTGACAAGAACAGGGTCGATTGTGAGCATGTTGTGAATCTTTACTAGAGATGTTCATCAGGTGTTCCCTGGAAATGTGAGCATATCCTGTCTCACCTGTGAGACCCATCATAAACACATGCAAAGGCAGGTCAATTGGTTACCTGAATGAGATATGGTTAAAGCAGAGAACCACACAGGGCCTGAAAACTTTATCACAGATGTTGTTTCATCAAAACCTTGATCTAATATCTTTTTCTGAGCAAGAGTTCATTGACCTTAAATCATCGAACCTGAACCTAAGTTAAACTTCCTGGATGAAGCAGCATATCCTGTCTCACCTGTGTCTCTGATTGCTGATTGCTATTGTCTACAAGTATTTTGTGCAGGAGAGGGACAGATATTGGGAAAAACCACTCTTTGAGATATGACAGGGTATATCATAGAACTACCTGGAGTGCAGCCCTGATGGCTATTGACATGTAGGAGGGACAGTCGTCTCAAAAGCAAAACCAGTACACACCAGGACACCAGATGAACGGTGAGGCGTTCCTTGAGTGGATGGAACATCAGCTCCTTTCCTGTCTGGACAATCCTAGCGTCATCGTTATGGATAACGCCAGATATCATAACCTCCGTGTACCGGAAACAGTGACCCCTACCATGGCGTTAACGTCGATCGTGTCAGACCCGTCGTCATGACTCCAGTGATCTTCTGGTCATGCCACCTATATATATGGACATTTAATACGATGACTGATTTAAGCTTTCCATACTCTTTACATATCTCAACATAAACTTTATGAAAGAAAGACACGTGCAATGTTAATCAATAGATGAGACATATTCAACACATATTTAACAGCATAAACATCTTTGAGATGACCCCTTGTGCCTGTAGGCAGCACATGCATTCCATATTCCATGCCAGGTGAGTCGACGGGGCGTCGTCATACCAGGCTAAGCAACCTAATTGCCATATATAGTCTGATCTGTTGTTTTCAGCAGCTATTTAAGTTTTGCCCGATTTTACGAGTAAACATGCTTATCTGTATATCCTATTACGCATCCCACTGATCGCGTGGGTATTTAGATACGCCGATTGTATATTTAGACATATACTATTTCCAATTGTGTAAATTTTAGTGATACAGAGTATCTATTTCCGACAGTACTTTAATAGGGATGCTCATGTCTTGTGGCCATGACGTAATGTGCTAACCAGAACGTTCAGCATCTCCTCGATTGTTTTGACACAGCAAACTTCACATGACATTCGCTTTCATGTTTAACAAGTTGTTCCAATAACCAAATGTTTGAAAGATGTTTTAATTCCACTTGTCGAAATGGTGTCTGTGAATATGTGAAGGATTGTTTACGGTTAGTCTTTGAGACTGGGTTTAGGGTTACATGCGCTTTTGGGTTACATGCGCTGGGCCCTTGCTTGTCTCCACGTGAGGAATCGTAGTTAACGTGAATTCTGTGCTTGCCTCTTAGTGAAGAATCTTGGTTAATATGACCTCCAGGCAAAGAATATTGGTTGCCTGCTGTACGTGGCTGTACGTGCGACTATATGAGCAGGCTCCGTCACATTGAAGATTAATTCTTGTCATACCCCGACTACTTGGATGCTGCCGATAATAGGAATCACGGGGGTTCCATCCAGTCCACACTCGAGTATTTAAAGATATCGTCATCAGCAGCACCGATGAACATCAAGGAATGTATTCTGGAATTATCTATTTACAACACACAAAAGTGTACACTTTGTGATAAAATAGTCATTCGTTCGCTATATTTTATGGCTCTTCATACACATCTCATAACGACTTATCTCCCTTTGACCGCACAGTTGTCATGTCAAACCAACGTACCCGCTCCACAACAGAGCTGTCGGATTGTGCATCAAAACACGATCACAAGTTGGTATCGAACATTTGTGTTTAACATCAGCAGTTTGGTAGTACTTATCTAAATGGTGATCTTGCAACCACAATGGCTACTCTAAACTGCTCCATGCTCCAACTAGATGAAAACGATCCTGTATCGAACACTGTTTAAAATGTGAGCAAAGATGACTCCCCTGTAAGGCAAATCACACATGTCTGTTTAGAAAAGAGTAACAGCTGTTCAGGTTTATCACAAACATGCCATAAAACATGCAACCTATTTAGTAAATTCAGTATAAAATTGCTCATCAAAGTCACTTAGATTAAACTCAAAATAGCAATATTCTACATGATTTTGTACCATATGGTGTTATTGAGACAATGTATCTGAACAGAAAACAGAAGTACCGACTATAACTGAGAGTATTATTTCCATATTAAAATATAGGACCTACACATTCTGATCAGGACCTACACCGTTTTATGGTTTTGGGTCCTTAGGGCCTGCAGCTTTCATTGTTTCAGTGCAAACACTGTTTATATTGCATTACATTATAGTGGGTGAGAGAGCATGGTTTTATACCGGTTTTAGCAATATTCCAGCAATATCAAGGCGGGGGACACCAGAAATGGACTTTACACATTGCACCCAAGTAAGGAATCGAACCCGGGTCCTCGGCGTGACGAGCGAACGCTTTAACCACTAGGCTACCCCCACCAACCCTCATAACATTACAAGCTGGGTCTTTCTAAAACAGGTATGATTCGTCACATTCACATCAAAAGTCATGGATGATTTGTCAGAATGATTAAACACCAGGGAGTGAGTGAGTGAGTTGATATCTAACGTCACATCTGACACATCAGCAGTATTTCAGTCATATTTTGACCAAAAACATTTACACAGTAATCAGTAATATGTTTAGACAATAAGATTAAACACAAGAGTAAAACTATTTCAGAGTGCAAAGTTCCTACAGTGCATCACATCATATATCTCCAAGTAACATATAATTTTGTTTAATTGAAGGGAAGTATTGTGACATGTTCACTCACTTACAACATGTAAATACCTTCACTACGTTGTCTGTACACAAGTACATACGACCACGCCCACTAACACACAGAGTCCGTATGGATACTGACACCATCCTGTGATGTCAGTATGTTTCTAACAAACTGTCCTGACTCTGTCAGATGGATGACTCTGTGTTATGAGTTGTCTGTCACCAGGATGTCGCCTGTGCTGGTACTTGTGATACCCCCTGGATCCTTCAGTGCTGTGTGTCCTGTAGGTCTGTAGTTGAACACCACATCTCCCTCGGGGGTCAGACACACGACACACTTGGTTCCACAGTCAGACACCAGGATGTTTCCTGTCCTCGTGGTACAGAGGAAGTAGGGATACTTTAAGATGTTTCCACCTCTGTGGCCAGGACAAACTGACTTCAGCACGTGTCCCGACATATCCAGGATATCAACACAGGGAGGGGACTCGGAACTTGCTGCTAGTGTTGATGGTGTCAGAGACGTTATACCCCAGTACTGTTTGCTGGTTGTGATGGTCGACAGCAGCACCAGGTCAGGGTTCACTTCAACTGTTACAATCTGACTGGTATCCAGCACAGTGACAGCCACCTGGTTGTGTTTCAGCCTTGTTATACCCCATGGTCTACCTTCCAGACTGAGCTTGCTGTGACCTGGCTGACTGTTCCTGGTGTAGAAGGACTTTACACTGTTGTTGTTGTAGTCTGTAACTACCACTGTGTCTGTACCATTCACCTCTAACACCGTCACGTCAGTGGGGTCTCCTCCACCTGCATCTCCTGCTACTGTCTCCTGTAACACAGGAGCAGCCTTCACTGTCACGGAGCAGCCTTCAGGTCCAATGGTGTCCTGTAACACAGGAGCAGCCTTCAGGTCCAGCACATCGTCATACTGGACGTGTATCTCACCCAGATGGAGATCTTCCAGTGCTCTACTCAGCTTGTCCGTGTCCTGTCTGAATGTTATCCTGTCTATTCTTCCCTTCTCCTTCACGTCTACGACTCCGACAGCCTCCACATCACCGGCCTCACATCCCTGATACATCTCATACACATCCATGTCACACTCAGATTGTAGAGCCTGGTCTATCAGCTCAGTCTGTTGTTGGTACATCTGTACTGACATCTCACCTGACTTTATGTCTGCCTTCAGTTGTCCAATGTGTCTGTCAGACATCTCTTTCAGTTCAGACAGAAGTTTCCGTTCCTTGACTTTGATCACCTCTATTGCTGTGAGACTTGCAGACTTGATATTTGATTCTATTTGTAGGTGAAGCGCCAATTCTTCACCGACCCTGGAGTTTTGTTTTCCCAACATGTGTTTTCATCTCATTGTGTTTCTTTAACAAATTCTCTTTATTCCTTTTCAGCTCGGTTTTCATTGCAGGAATCTCTGACTCAATTTCAACAACCATGTCACATTTCCTGTGATGGATGGTGCAGCATGTTTGACAAACAGCTGTTTTACAATCTTTACAAAGATATTTGATCCTCTCGTCCTTGTGAACTTTACACATGACCTTTCTATTCACCTTGACCCTTGTCTCTCCAGACAGGTCAACTACGTCATGGTGACGGGAAGAGGGGATTCGTTGGTGCATCCGTGTACATCGTTCACACAGTGCGTCGTCACAAACAGAACACCAAGATGTAGCTGGAGTTGTCTCCCCTTCCTCCTTACAATAACTGCAGTTAGTTGTATCTGAAATAACCATTCATTCATGTGGTGATATTAACCTGGTGACATCACAATGTATTATAGGGCTAGATGTGGTGATATTAACCTGGTGACATCACAATGTATTATAGGGCTAGATGTGGTGATATTAACCTGGTGACATCACAATGTATTATAGGGCTAGATGTGGTGATATTAACCCTGGTGACATCACAATGTATTATAGGGCTAGATGTGGTGATATTAACCTGGTGACATCACAATGTATTATAGGGCTAGATGTGGTGATATTAACCTGGTGACATCACAATGTATTATTGACATCACAATGTATTATAGGGCTAGATGTGGTGATATTAACCTGGTGACATCACAATGTATTATAGGGCTAGATGTGGTGATATTAACCTCATGACATCACAATGTATTATAGGGCTAGATGTGGTGATATTAACCTGGTGACATCACAATGTATTATATTGGTAGTATTTTTCCTGTACCACGATTTGTCAAAAGACCGTCACATGATTGACTACAAAACACGATATTGAGTTTTCTGATAAATTACGATATTAACTTGGGTTACTAAAATAGACAAGGAATACCGAACGAAGGGCTTCCCCGCTGATCAGCCAATCAGATCACTCGGATAGATGGGCACAGTGGGTGCATTAAAAGTTTACATTAAAACCCGTTTCTCTTTAGATGTGGTATATTAAAACAGTGATAGACAATGTATGAGGGAATCGATATCGGTTTTATTGACCTGAGAAAAATAATATCGACCGCGCAAGTTCGGTCGTTATTGTTTTACTCAGGTGGTGATATTAACCTCGTGACATCACAACGTATTATAGGACAAGATGTGGCGCATTATGAGGTGAGAAAATGTATCAGAAACATCAGAACACGTCTCAGTAATGTAAATATGTTTTGAATTGTCTCATCCGTTGTTGTTCGGATGAAGAATAATGTTTCTGAGGTAGATCTTGAGTCGTGTCGCCTCTCACATACTGTCTCTTGATAGAGAAACACATGTCCACTGTACATGTTCGTTTTGTACTCATTCCTTACAAACAACATCAGGAACAGTTTTATATATATCACAGGAGCCACAAATTGCTAAATATCTTCTAAGGTCCGCATATGTTCCCATTATGTATAATCAATTATCCTGTTACCTGATCACAAACAACTCGTATATTAGTACAACCCACAAATACTCACCTTTAGATCCAGGCCCAAACGAGTCCAACAGTCCCTGGATGACAAAGATAGGCTTGACGTCATCCGCCCACTCCTCCACTGGTCTCTCAGGGTCAGACACTTTCGTCATCTTCCTGCAGCATGGACACAGGAGAGACTTGGCACTGATGGCTTCTGGTCTGGTTTTGGTGTAGTTGACGACACATTTCCGACAGAAGGTGTGATTACACACAAGTGTACAGGGCTTGTCAAACACCTCTGTACATATGGTGCATGTCAGGAAGTGTTCTGTCAACTTCTGGGAGGTCGCCATCTCTCCTACAAAACGACAACAGGCACGACATGAACATACTATCCACTATCCACTGTCCAACCCACAACATTCATCACACCAACACCGACCATATTTGTAGTCCTGATATACAGACAGGTCTGAAGCTACAAAAGCCGAGTCAAGGGATCCTGCACTTGAAACAATAAACGAATCCAGCTAAATTAAAACATAATTCCAGACGTACGCAGATCCTATCGACAATGAGAGCAAACATTCGTAGACGCATCTAAACTGACCCGTCTGTATTGTGTGTATATGATGTGTGCGTGTGCGTGTGCGTGCGCGTTTGTCTCTCTCTCTGTCTGTATGCCTTTCTTTTTCTTTTCCTGGTCATACGTAAAATATAGAACATCCATTACTTCACATATTTCACAATTTAGTGCACCGAACGAACAAACAATCCTGTATTGTAGAAGCGTTAGAAGCTTGAAACTGGATGAAGTGACGGTCTGTTGGTTTGATTATTATTGATTATTTCCAACTTGTAAATTCCCTCTCTTGCCTGACATACTAGAACCGTTGAGCTACAAAAAGAATGTTTATGAGAACTTTTTAGTTCATGTAACACTGCCATGAAAGTTATGTGGTCGGTCCCCCGTGCTGTTGTATGAGTTGCGCTATTTTTCTAAGGGAATCTGTTATTTTCTGAGGTTGACAGTGTGTATATAACAGACTGTTTATGTTCTGGTGTCACGGAACACCATGAATATGTAGCCTGTCAGTGAGCACCTTGTCAATGGATCTTTGCAAATCGCCGTCATAAGCTTTACAACATGCAGTTCTGCACCGTGTAAAGTGTCACATGGCGATACCCGCTCATTACCATATCGAAAGTAGGAGACGTTAAGTTCGGATTCCGGTACATCACATGTCAGATAATGTGGTAATGTAGAGGGATTTTACCACATTTTGTGCTGTAGCAATTATCAAAGATCAATTCAGTAATAACTTTAACATACACACATGATACATACATCAACATACATCGGGAAAGATTTCAGTAATGAAGTCAACAGACCGATCAAGGAAGTAATGAAAGTAGACACTTCATACACTATGCTCAGTCTAAATATTGCAGTATATCAGGTGCCCGGATTTGAGAATGTGCCTGGAGATGACCCAACAGTTAGATGAACCATTGTAGTGTTACCTGTACACAGTAGGACAGGTGTGTAGCGTTATAACTGGAATAGACACAGCCCCTGTGACAACACACTTACCTGAGACAGCCAGGTAACCGGTGTAGAGGGAAACTGTGCACCAGGCGACTTCCGGATCAACTCGTGTCATTCAGGGACATGCTGTTTGCATGTTACGGAAAAGGACGAGTGATGCCGAATGGGTGATTGTGTTTTGAAATCGATTTGAACGCCCAGTGTTACGATTCCCTTATTTATTGGTTGCTGACTTATGGCTGTGATATTATTAACTAAATCCGTGATATTGCTGGATGACTGCATAACTGAATCACTCACTCACCCAGGAATAAATCACGCCGTTATCTTATTGTGAATGTGCTACACTCCACATGTTGTCTGTTGGTTGATTTGCATATGAAAAGCAATTGAATCTTGGAGAACGTTCATATTGACTCGTCAGCTGGTCACTCGGAACATCCGGGTTCGCTTCCCCAACACTGGCACGATGTATGAACCCCTTTTCAGGCGTCCCCCGCAGTGATACTGCTAAATGTGGTGTTAAATCACTCACTAACTTTTCTGAGGAACGTCAAGACTTCACATTTATTTGTACTGACGTTTAATATCTAAGAGTAAATACGGAAGTATACCGGACGAGAATTGTGTTGTGCTGGTATCAGTGAAGGGCTCCTGACCGTCAGAGCTCCTGGACATGACACCCGCACGTTGACCCTCAAGATAACTGAATGATGTCGGTACAGTCACAGACTTGTGTACAGATTGGTCAAGATTGACATGTGGTTAACATAGGTCACGAACCGTATGTTTCATTCCACATGAGATTCTGGTTATCAAGGATCAAGGAACGTCTGTCTGTCGTACGTCGGACGATATGAATAGGCTCCGTCACTTGGAAGAATAATTGTTGTCATACACGGACTGCTTGGGTGCTGCCATAATCGCAACCACTCGTTTATCCGGCCAACACTCGACTATATACAGATTGCCGTCATCAACATGTGGCTGGAAAACTGAGTGCTTCGTTGACCATCAAGTAGGCATGTAAACTGTAAAAATCTATTTACAACACACGGGAACAGCTCAAATGGTGATAAACTATTCATTCGTTCGCTGCACTTTATTGGATCCTTGCAAACCCAGGTTAAAATTGATTTTCAGTAACCTACGCTTGTCGTAATAGGCGACTAACGGGATCGGGTGGTCAGTTTCGTTCACTTGGTTGACATGTCCAAATTGTGTAGATCGATGCTCATCCTGTTGATCACTGGATTGCCTGGTCCAGACTCGATTATTTACAGACCGCCGCCACACAGTCGGAATACTGCTTAGTGCGGCATAAAACTAAACTCACTCACTCACACTCACTGTATTTTATTGCTCCATATAAATACGTCATCACGAGTTATCTCCCTTTCGCCACTCAGTTGTCAAGTCAATCCAGTAACAGGTGTTCATCTTGTTGAACAGAAGGCAGCTCAGACGTATGTCACTTGACCGTACACACAACATCTGTAGTCTACCTGCTCTACATCTGTAGTCTACCTGCTCTACACCTGTAGTAGGCGTGAGGCTACACTACCACTAGTCGTGACGCTACACTACCAATAACCGTGAGGCTACACTACCACTAGCCGTGAGGCTACACTACCTCTAGTCGTGAGGCTACACTACCACTAGTCGTACGGTTACACTAGTATCAGTTTATTGCATGAAGGCCAGAGGCCCATATACAGAATAAATATGTATGATATGTACAACATATACAACATGCGACACACACGTTACATTGAATCTCTTCTCAATATAAGCGCGTGATAAATAAATAGAGCTACCTTATACTACCACTAGACGTGAGGCTACACTACCACTAGCCGTAAGGCTACACTACCACTAGACGTGAGGTTACATTACCACCAGTGGTGTGGCTACACCACCACTAGTCGTCAGGCTACACTACCACTAACTGTGAGGCTACGCTAACACTACCCGTGAGGCTACACTACCACTAGTGGTAAGGATACACTACCACTATTCGAGAGGCTACACTACCACTAGTCCTCAGGCTACACTACCACCAGCCGTGAGGCTACACTACCACTAGCCGTAACGCTACACTACCACTAGATGTGAGGCTACACTACCACCAGTCGTGTCGTGAGCCTACACTACCACTAGACGTGAGGCAACACTACCACTAGTCATGAGGCTACACTACCACTAGACGTGAGGCTACACTAACACTAGTCCTGAGGCTACACTACCACTACTCGTGAGGCAACACTACCACTGAGGCTACACTACCACTAGTCGTGAGGCTACACTACCACCAGTCGTGTCGTGAGGCTACACTACCACTAGACGTGAGGCTACACTACAACTAGTCGTGAGGGTACACTACCATAGTCGTGAGGCTACACTACCACTAGACGTAAGGCCACACTACCACTAGTCATGACGCTACCCTACCACTAGACGTAAGGCTACACTACCACTAGACGAGAAGCTACACTACCACTAGTCATGACGCTACACTACCACTAGACGTAAGGCTACACTACCACTAGACGAGAAGGTACACTACCACTAGTCATGACGCTACACTACCACTAGACGTAAGGCTACACTACCACTAGACGAGGAGCTACACTACCACTAGTCATGACGCTACACTACCACTAGACGTAAGACTACACTACCACTAGTCGTGAGGGTACATTACCACTAGTCGTCAGGCTACGCTACCACTAGTCGTCAGGCTACACTACCACTGGCCGTGAGGCTACACTACCACTAGCCGTAAGGCTACACTACCACTAGTCGTGAGGCTACACTACCACCAGTCGTGTCGTGACCATACACTACCACCAGCCGTGAGGCTACACTACCACCAGCCGTGAAGCTACACTACCCCTAGAAAGGATGCTACACTACCACTAGTCGTGAGGCTACACTACCACCAGTCCTGAGGCTACACTACCACCAGTTGTGTCGTGAGGCTATCCTACCACTAGACGTGAGGCTACACTACCACTAGTCGTTAGGCTACACTACCACTAGTCGTGAGGCTTCACTACCAGTATTCGTGAGGCTACACTACCACTAGCCGTGAGGCTACACTACGAGTAGCCGTGAGGCTACACTACCACTAGTGGTGAGGCTACACTACCACTAGTCGTGAGGCTACACTACCACTAGTCGTAAGGCTACACTGCCACTAGACATGAGGCTACGCTAACACTGGCCGTAAGGCTACACTACCACTAGAAAGGAGGCTACACTACCACTAGTCGTGAGGCTACACTACCACTAGTCGTGAGGCTACACTACCACTAGTCGTGAGGCTACACTACCACTAGCCGTGATGCTACACTACCACTAGTCGTGAGTGTGATACAGGGGGATCTCCTTGATACTTATTGGTTTCAGTAACAGATGGTCCAAGACTTGCAGGGCACCATTCACAAACGCACGCACATCTGCCTGGACAGACAGAACTGTTCCTTCATCACTCATCATGGACTACATGATGGTAACTGACGCATACCCTGACCCACTGACATGTCCAGTGTAAATACAATATATCCTTACCCCTGATTTCAGCCAGGCAGTATTTGATATACACTACATCATGGTATCTGACGCATACCCTGACCCACTGACATGTCCAGTGTAAATACAATATGTCCTTACCCTTGATTTCAGCCAGGCAGTATTTGATATACACTACATCATGGTAACTGACGCATACCCTGACCCACTGACATGTCCAGTGTAAATACAATATGTCCTTACCCTTGATTTCAGCCAGGCAGTATTTGATATACACTACATCATGGTAACTGACGCATACCCTGACTCACTGACAAGTCAAATGTAAATACTATATATCCTTGCCCTTGATTTCAGCCAGGCATTGGTTGATTACACGACAATAAAACCATAGTTAATGGCCAAACCTAATCCTGAATTTCCACACACGTTTTCTATTGTAACCGTTTTCAGACAAATACTTAGTTGCCCAAAGTGATCTTGAACAGCTGATGATATCAACAGCTCTCTTGTATGTTGTCAAGTACATTATGTATATCTACACGTCAGGTCTTTGAATGGCATTTAGAAGTGATACACACAAGGAATAGAGTTTGATGAGTGAGTGAGTGAGTTAAAATTTAACGTCACCTCGGGAATGTTTCAGCCATATAGTGACGAGAAATATCGACGGACTGTAAAATAACTGGAGCATCACAGATAGATATAAAACTAGCATGGAAAACTAAAACATTTTAATTAAAGTAGACAATACGTTATAAATCACAGGCTATAGATCGCCAACAGCTGAAGGTAGATCACCATACTAGGAACCATGGGGACTTACATTACTTTTGCTGCCTGCATGGACCCTAGTTGGATTTACACCTTCCCTTCAGCCGCTGGCGATGGTAGGAAGATTTAGCCGAAATTTAAAATAACAAATATACTACGATTAAAAAGTATGGTTGAGCGAAATTGGCTTGGAATGTTTTAGAGAGTTTTATGGATGTCAACTTCTTTATTATGAGGAGCACAACGTTTCTGAGTATATCCTTACTCCTTCATCTGGTGAATGAATGATAACAGGCAGAGTGTATATAACTGTACACGTTGGTATAAACACTGCATGTATCTATTAACAACACACACACACACGCACACACACGCACGCACGCACGCACGCACACACACACACTTACAATGTGTAGAGCCCCTTCTAATGTCCCCCGCAATGATTTGGCTGGAAAAGTGCTAAAAGCGTCGTGAAACCGAAACTCACTCCCTATGATAAAATATTCATTCGTTTGCTGTATTTTATTGCTCTTCAAAGATCACAGTCACAAGTTGGCAAAGCAATTCATGTGTATGCGTGCAATAGTAGTTTACTGTATCTAATTGGTAATCGGTTGGTCACAACGGCTGCCAAACCTTGACTAGTTTGGCTACTCTAGGTACCGATGAAATACGACCCCCCCATCCAATACCGATTTAACCTCCACAGCTTGTTACCTTCTGCCGGCGTCTGCAACCACAAGATCGGAACTTCCGTCGGCATAAATGTGATCAGAATAACGTATGTAAGTTGTGACAGGTGTGCAAAAAGATTATTGCCCTGTAGTGCAGATCACACAACATGTCTGTTGAGAAGAGAATAATGACAGGTGTTTAATACACATATAAATGTATACAACTTACATTCCAAAACGTCATCTTTTGGTGATTGTAAAGAGCTTCAGCAAAAAAGGTGGCAATTTAAACTTTTCCCCTTGTTTTGGAAGCGTTTGAGGAAATATTCCCCTAAACATCACAGAGAAAAGAGCAAGTAAGCAGAGGAAATGAACGTTTTGTCTCTAATTGCATTCGACAGATTCGGTGGAGACAGTGTCATGGTGTGGGATGTCATATCAAGTACACAAAAATCTGATTTCTTTAAGGGGGGAATCAGCAAATCGGTAAAGTCCTTGCACGTCACATACTTTCGATTATGGACCGACGGAGTTGTTCCAGCAAGACAACGCTACTTCACATACAGCACGCGTCACGGTCCGCTACCTTGCCAATTCTAACGTCAGTGTCTTGCCATGGCCTTCCCGATCACCAGATCTAAACCCGACAGAACACCCATGGGATGAAGTCGATCGACGTGTACGTCAACGTCAAAACACGCCTCAGAGACTTCCACTAATGCCCATCACATTGCAGGAAGGAAGGAAGGTGAGAGAGTGAGTGAGTGAGTTTTTATGCCGCTTTTAGCAATATTCCAGCAATGTGAGAATCGTGTTCGGCGTGACAGGCGAATGCTTTAACCACTAGGCTACCCCACCGCCCCACATTACATCTCAAGGTGTGTCCTTCTACAACAGGTATGATTCGTTATATTCATATCGAAGTCATGGATGATTTGTCAGAGTGAGTGAGTGAGTCACTGAATGAGTTGATGTTTAACGTCACAACAGCAGTATTTCAGCCATATAGTGTCGAAAACAATTTACACATTAATCAGAAATATGTTTAGACTATAAGACTAAACTCAAGAGTAATATGATATTATAATTCCAGAGGGCAATGTTCAGTGAAATGTTTAGACTATAAGTTTAAGCACAAGAGTAAAAAGTTATTTCAGAGTGCATCAGATCATATCCCTCCAAGTAACATATAATTTTGTGTAATTGAAAGGAAGGATTGTGACACGTTCACTCACTTACAGCATGTAAACACCTTCACTCCATCTGATGCACACAGGTACATAAGACCACGACCACCAATACACAGTCCCCGTGGATGGTGGACACCATCCTGTGATGTCAGTATGTTTCTAACAAACTGTCCTGACTCTGTCAGATGGATGACTCTGTGTTGTGAGGTGTCTGTCACCAGGATGTCACCTGTGCTGGTACTTGTGATACCAAGAGGATCCTTCAGTACTGTGTCTCCTGTAGGTCTGTACTTGAACACACCTTCGAGGGTCAGACACACAGCACACTTGGTTCCATTGTCAGACACCAGGATGTTTCCCGTCCTCGTAGTACAGCGGAAGCAGGGATACAATAAGATGTCTCCACCTTCGTGGTCTGGACAAACTGACTTCAACACGTGTCCCGACATATCCAGGATATCAACACAGGGTGGGGACTCGGCACTTGCTGCTAGTGCTGATGGTGTCAGAGACGTTATACCCCAGTACTGCTTGCTGGTTGTGATTGTCGACAGCAGCACCAGGTCAGGGTTCACTTCAACTGTTACAATCTGATTAGTATCCGGCACCGTGACAGCCACCTGCTTGTGTTTCAGCCTTGTTATACCCCATGGTTCACCTTCCAGACTGAGCTTGCTGTGACCTGGTTGACTGTTCCTGGTGTAGAAGGACTTTACACTTTTGTTGATGCTGTCTGTAACTACCACTGTGTCTATACCATTCACCTCTAGTATCGTCACGTCATAGGGGTATGCTCCACCTGCATCTCCATGAACTCCCACGTTAATGGTGTCCTGTAACTCAAGAGCAGCCTTCAGGTCCAGGACGTCGTCATCCTGGACGTGTATCTCGCCCAGCTTCAAGTGCCCTACACAGCTTGTCCGTGTCCTGACCCAATGTCAGTAAGTGTTCTGTCAACTTCTGGGAGGTCGCCATCTCTCCTACAAAAAGAAAAAAAAAACATACCAATATTTATTATCAAAAGTTCAAATCTAATACAGCTCCAGGGCCTGATGGCATTCGAAACCAGTACACGAAACTATTCACCTGTGTCAGTTCTCTTCTAGACAAAAGTGATGTTCCTCCATGGTTCTGCAAAGGTCACACAATACTCCTTCAAAAGAAGGATACTCGACTGATCCCCAAAACATTCGCCCTGTTACATGTTTGAATACACACAAATTAAATATTCACAGGGTGTTTGACAACACTTGTATAATCTTACTGCTCTTCCAATGATATAATTTGTAGAGAGCAGAAGTGAGCAAGGAAGGGGTGTTGGGGTGCACGGATCAACTTCTTGTACAAAAAAAAGGGTTTTGAAAGAGGCTAAAATATATCACCAAAACCTCTCCATGTGCTGGATTGACTACAAAAACATGTGACCCTGTCCCTAATGAATGGATTTTCAAGTCTCTTCATTGTATTGACCTCCCTGAGGGACTACTTGATTTACTCAAGTCTTTAATGAGTTGCTGGTCGACTCAACTTGAGATGTACTGGCAAGGGCAGGTGCAGACTTCGGATTCTGTTCAGAAGGGGTATATTCCTGGGGGATTCTTTTAGTCCTTTGCTTTTTTGTTTGTCTTTAAATCCTTTGAGCTTTCTGCTCAATAAAGAGGAGGGTTACCATCCCAGACCTTCTCAGCGCAGATCCCCAACCTCTTGCCCCTTTCCTTTACATGGATGACATCGAACTTCTGCCAGAGGAGATATCAATTTGAAAGAGCAGGTTCTCCTTGTCGGGTCCTTTTCTAACCATATTTGCATGCAATTTGGACAAATGTAACACTCTTCATTTGAAACGTGGCAAGGTAGTTAATGATGGATCGGTCAAGTTACAAGGGGGAGCAGTCATTGAGCATCATGTGGAAGATCAGGCCTACACCTATCTTGGAATGCAAGTTCGAGACAAGCTCCAGAATGCCCCAATTCAAGACAAACTTCGGACCGAGTATAAATCTCGGTTAAAGAAAATCTGGAGCTCTGAGCTCAACGCTCAAAACAGGATCGAATCCACCAATACGTTTGCTGTGCCAATCCTTTCCTATTCCTTTGGAGTTGTTGATTAGACAAAACAAGACATTCAGAGTGTTGACCGAATGACCAGAAGGATCATTTCTGATAATAGAGCCCACCACCCTCGTTCCTCTCTTAATCGTTGATATATGCTAATCAATTATGGAGCACAGGGTTTGATTAATGTGGAGGGTCTTCATGATGGAATTCTATTGTGTACTTTGGCACATTTTTACGTATCAGATGATTCTCTGGTGATGCATGTCAAGACTCATGATGAAAGCAAGGAATTCAATAGCTATTTGAAGCGTTCCAAGGTTGTTGGACAGAATCTAAAACATAAGGTTGATTTATTTTTAATGGCGATATCCTATTGAACGGTACAGCGAAGGGAGTAAACCAGAGAAGTCTTTCAACAACTCTGCCCAGAGTTGGTGGTTTGTGGAGACGCTTTCTAAGAAACCATTGCATCGTGTGTACATGCAGCGTTTGGAACTGAACAGTAATTCAACAGACTCCTTCGCCTGGATGCAGTCGGTGGGTCTTAAAAATGAAACTGAGAGCTTCCATGTTGCTGCTCAGGACCAGTCACTTTCCACTCGCAATCGCCAAAATGTGATTCTTAAAGAAAACATCAATATGAAATATCGATTATACAATTAATTTACAGAGACTGTCCAACACCTTGTAAGTGAATGCACAAACAGCATATCTTAAACGACATGATGGCATGGCTCGGTGATTAGATTACCGTCTTCGCCAAGCCTGTGGCTTTGACTCCGAGGTCCAAATGGTGTTTTAAAACTTCTTTAGAGTAGGCCCATATACAGCCTCAGAAGAATTCCAGCCAACAAACTTGATCTTGTCTTTTTTCATAAAGCCAAAGAAAATTATTTATATTATTGAATTTTCTGTCGTTTTTGACAGCTATGTAATTGGCAAGATTCAGGAAAAACATGCTAAATATGCGGACGTCACCTTTGAAATGTCTTGCTTGCATCCCAAGTACACTGTTGTCAGGCTCACCATTGTTCTTGGTGCCCTTGGTTAGGTACCTTCTGATATCTTGGCGCAGATCAGGAGAATACCTGGGTGCTCTACAAGGAGCACAGCCCTTCTGACACCCTGTGTAATGCAGAAGGTTGCAGTGTTGGGGAGCCTCCATATTCTCCGGAAAGTTCTTGGTGGGTTCGACTAGGCAGCGCTTCCTGGGAGAAGTCCCATTCGCTGTCTGGGCTACATTATTAATAATAATACTTTATTGCCTTTTTAGGAATGTGTCTTACATCAACAGAGCTACTGACACATTGGAGAGATACATAACATATTTACATAGATTCGTAAATTTATGTATCTTCACATTCATTAAAAAGAGATATGGTAACACAAGAAAAAATGGTGATTTCCAAAATTTCCAATTTGGAAAGATGATATTTCCAAAAATTTCCAAAATTGGAAAGATGATATTTCCAAGGCTTGGAAATCTTTGGAAATTTAGGAAGGATTTTACCACTACTTCTTTCAGTTTCTCCTTTTCCCAAGGATCCCCGTGAGTGTATAGACTGTGTATTCGTCCTCCTAGGAGTGTATTCGTCCTCCTATGCGATCAACTATAACCAGGGAGACTATAAGACGCTGTAGATTATTCCTGGTATAACTTCTCTCGTCTGCATCCTTGTTGTTCTAGGTGTCAAAAATTGGCATTAACTGTCATATTTGCCCTGATATGGCTAGCATTTTCCAAAATACAGTTTTAAGTGTATGGTTTACTTATTATCCACAAAAGCGCAAATATGTTTTGACCTGTCACGGTTTGCATAAACACAAATTACATAGACCTACGTTACATCATTGATTAAATAAAAGTTTACCGGACCCACTGACTGACTGGCCAAGGTTTATTACATGTCATAAAAGTGAACCCTTGCCAGGGAATAATAGGCTTATTGTAGTAGAATACATTCTTTAATGGTACCCTCTAATTAACACCTGACACAAGGGATGGACCGTTTAGGTGGTTTATCATTGCGAAATCAACAGTCAACAGACCATGAAATGTTGTTTTAAGACTGTGAGCGAATAGAGAGCAACCCGTTTGGGTTTGTGGTCAGAGACGGTGTTATGCAGTTAGTGTATTCACGAAATATCATGAACTTAATAATAGATAATTGGTTATATTGTCCACACACAGGCGGACTGGGGCAAAAAAGAACCCAAATGAATCCCTTCTTAAAAAACTTCATAGTGTAACCAGGGATACTATAGAGTCTCCCTGGTGTAACTAATTAATTTGGTCATATACAATAAAAGGTGACTAAATGTTTAATTTTAGATAACGTTAAATAATTTCTAGAGAGACCACTACACAAGTTCATATTACAGATGATTCCAGAGACAAATAGCTTATGAGATTCTAGTTTATGAAAAGCATTAAATTCCAAACAAGCCAATCTGTTCTCTAATGCTCGGGAATTATTACCACTTATATACCATAGTTTGAGATGTCGACTCAGGAAGCCGACCTTTCGATTCTTATAAGGCTCAGGACATTGACAAGGGGTACGCTTTAAAGTTTGGGTGTTATTTTAGCACATGGCTAATCTCATGTGACGTGTTATTACAAGCTGGTGGTTGATGGAAGTGAACACATCGCACACTGAAGCCGACCGTGTAAAAACATGATCAAAACAATCATATGGTAAACACATTTAACAAGGCACTGATCCAGAGCAATTTCCGCGCACTGGTTGTTGCTTTTGTTATTGCTTTTCTCCCCTGAGTACCCGGATGATATCCCAGTACTTTCGATTGGTTCGTGACCTTTGCTGCGCAACCCGCATGCGCAATTGATCGTATAGGTGTAGATTGATCAACAAAAATAAAATCTTTTTTACTCGATAATATTTCCATCATTTTGAAAATGGAATGAAAACACTTTGAAGTTTAATCATCTGCCAGTGGTAAAAAATGTCAGGACTGAAAAAAACGAAGTCAATGTATGTCTATATATTTTGTCTTATAATCCTAATTATTATATTGCCATATTTGGCATGCATTTTGAAACTTAATAAAAAGCATACGATTATACTTATAGCGTATTTATAACATGACTGTAATATCTAGACATTTTATAGAATGCCAACAAGAATCATATTTCACACACACCCTAGGTATGACCTAGTGTATGTTGTCTGTCTCATTACGGCGAAAACAAATGATTCTGTTGAATGCTACCACAAATGAATGAAAACAAAATGCAAATATTAGAAATAAAACCGACTAAAGTCTGCAACAATGTCAGGTTATTACCTTGTTCGAGGAATGTATCCATCAATATCCACATAGGTTAAGTCCCGATTTTGACAGCCTCAAATTTGGATATAGGAGCCAATAGAGCTTTGGTCTGGATGTGTATGCTGTTTGTCCCCTCTTCTGACAACAGTCCCATCTGCTATTGTAGTGACTGAGGCTGTTTTCAGGCACTGATATCTCCATATAATGGTACCATTCCTGCTGGCAGTTCGTCTCGTATTAGTTTGTATTAGTGTTGAAGAATTTTACTTGTTCTGTACTTCTCTCAGGTGATTGCATTAACATAACTGCCCTTAATTGGTGCAGCTAGTTATCCCAGGTTTGAGAGCGAAACTTCGCGAATCAGTGACCAAGACGCTGTCAAAAATGGGACACTACCTCCACATAAAGGAACAATATGCCATTGATCTGCAGCTGACAAAGAATCCCGTTCCATGCCAAGTGTCTTTTAACAGTCTAATACCCGAAAAAGGGATACATCGATTCAGTTTTCACATTGGTGTATAATCTCATTGGTCAACTAATTGCATGATGTCCGCCATTCTTTAAAAAGGTAATCTAATTAGCCATTAAGCATTAAATCGACTTATATCCTCTTACGCCTTAAATAAACAACTTGCCCGACTGGCAAAAGAGGAACACCCCCATCAACTTACTGGCGGTTAATACATTGAAGGAAAGATGTTGTTTTTACACAGGTACAGGGTACAGGACAGGGTGTAATCAGTATAGATTAGTAAATCTACATACATAAACATTACCTTTTGACAAATCCACTGTGCAAGAAAAAAGTAATTAATCAATCAGCGTGTTATCGGTTAATCCTTTGATCAATGTTTGTTTTGTATCTCAGCTGATAATTCGTCTTGCTGCAGTTCCATGAGCATATTACATAACATGTAATACATTTGTCACATCAGACCATCAATTCATAATGCGGAGTATTTACTCCAGACACAAGAAATGCGAAATGGGAACCTTTGGCGGGTAACCTGAGTGGTATTACCATCATACCTGTTATAAATGCATTAATCGACCATCAAGTGAATGATGACAAATAACATGTGTAGGTTTATACCACCAAACACTCAGCTGGTTACAGCAAAGGGGGATAGTAATCGCTGAATTGCATGCAATGTTAATTGCCTGAAAAAAGTTATGGGCCGACACTGTTTGGAGGATACGAACGGAATTTCATTGTTGCATAAGAAATACATATAAGCATTGGATGTGTACTGAAGTTAAAATTGTATATACCTAAGTACATTTTCATTTGTCATAAATATAATAGACATCATATGTTTACATGGCATGATTAAATATCGAGGTAAAAAAACACAGAAATAAGATCAAATTGAAAAATTGGATCAGTCACTATGCCATCTATGCATTAAAAAAATCCGAAAAGCATATACACTGCTGGTATACTTT